AGGAAGGAGTTGGGATGGGGAGCTGTCAGGGAAGAAGCATGAGTCTGTGAGTGTGGGCCTCTAGGCGTGCCCTTGTGGGCGCTTACCCTGTCCCTGCACTGCACCCAGAGCTCCCCACCACCCCTCCTGTCCTCCCCCACTTTCCTACCCCCACCCCATTTCCCTCTCACTCCCTGCTTCTAGGCAGCAGATGGGTTGGGGCAGACACTGTCATGGTTGGGAAGCAAGAGGAGAGTTTGGTGAAAACCACTCCAGGGGCCTTTCTCTCAAGCCTTGGTGATGAAAGGACTCAATGAACCTTAACAATTTCTCACAGGAAAATTCCGGCCTCTGTCTTCTTAAAAGCAGGACATTCAGCGACCCTTAAACAGAGCCAGGATTAAAACCCAGAATTTTTCTGACTTATCCAAGACCTATAGTTTAGGTAGAAAGGCTCGAGCACTGTCCTATCTGGCAATTAGGATCATTTTAGATACCAAAAATAACAGTTTAAGAAAGTGTACCTTGGGCAGATAGACCATTTTCAATGCAAACAGAAGAAAAACTTAAACCATGCCTTCAGAACCTCTGAAAAGCAGAGCTCTGTCATTTTGAGAGTGCTAGGTTTGGCGACAGGTAGGCAGTTTGTGAGCACAGCCAGCCCACGGCCTCTGTCTGTTGCTTGGATGATGCCCTTTCTCTGGCTGGCCAGGGTATCTGGTGCACTGCCTGTTTGCCTAGAGAAACAGGAATATCAGGACAATCACTGCACCTAGCCCCACAGGCCCAATTAAAGTGATTTTGAAACTTGTCTGAATCTCTGTGTTAGATTGTAGCAGGTTTCTGCCAGAGAGTGGGTGGGAGGAAGAAGTGGGTGTTTTTATGGGCATAGAAATGCCCCAGAGGTGCCTCATGATTCCTCCAGACCAGTCTCCCCCTTAAACTCCTGCACACAGACCTGGGTTTCATGAAGAGCTTTAGATTCCAGGCCTTCTGTGGGCCTCAGAAATGACAGCCACATGCATCTGGGGCCACTGAAAATCATGAAGAAGAGAGGCAGAATTCCGCTCAGATCACCTCAAATGCTTGACACTTTGGTAGAAGCTGAAGTTATTTACCTACTTCACTTAGGGTTATTTCATAGCATTCGAATCCAAAAGGACTCTTGTCACAAGATTGGGCTTGTTACAGTGTAGGACTGATAATCTTGTAATTTCTGGACACTAAAAATAATGAACAAAGGAACCTAAGGTCTGAAGAAGTCACCTGTCCTCGGGTCTGAGCTGAGCGTTCTCTCTCCTCTCCTCTGCATGCTGCTGCCTTAGGAGGGAGAGTGGCAGGAGGCCTGCACACCCCTCTTACCTATGCTATTGATCTCAGGCAGGTGACTCTAGTTCACCTTGTAGAAAGTGGGGATTACAAATTTTGCCTCTCACCTGCCCCCACAGAAAGTTGAATGAGGGCATGTGCCATATACTTAGCTCTTTAAAAGAATCTGACTTGTAAATACTGAGTTACTGTTTTGTTGAAAATGAGCCTTTCTTCTGCTATTCTATCCCCAACTGACCATAAATCCATTTTTCGTCACCTTCCGAGAGTCAAATAAAAGGAGCTTCTTTTGGCCTTTGGATCTGACAGTTCTTCACCCTGATTTTTCCAGGGCTGTCTTATTTTCTCTTCTGTCCCCCATTTTCCAGTACTCACCATGGGCTAGAATATACTAAATGGCGACTCCTGGAGTCCCCAGCAGAAATACTTCTAATAGTTCACTGTCAGGTGGATCAGACTAGACACACAGTGGCCCCTAAGGTAGAATGTATTCTGGACCAGGAGCAGGGGGTGTGAGGAGGGTGTAAGGATGAAATAAAACATTAAAAATATAAATAAAAAGGAAGGTACCAGTTATTAAAAGATAACTAAAGACAATCATGAGGACTAACATTTAACCATTTACCTTTGGTCAGGCACTAATGCTGGGGACCTTATATGCATTATCCAGTGTAATGAAACCCTGTGAGTTCAGAATTATCATACCAGAGAGGTTATGAGACTTGTCCAATGTCATACGGCTAGTAAGTGGTAGAACCCAGGGTCTGAACTCCGGTCTGACTCTCAAGTGCTAACCCTACTACTGTGCAAACTGCAGCCACACAAATATAGTACCAAGCATCAGAAGCCCCAAGCTTTCCAATGGAGCAAAGCAGCAGGAAAGCCCTTCTGAAGTGTCAGAACAAATTTTCAGAAACCAGATAGTGTTAAGACTCTGTTTATAAACTGTAGTAGTATTTTATAAGTTATTTTAAGAGTGTAGTTTTCAAGTCTCCAGATTGCCTCAGAGGACAGCATGTCTATAGGCTTCTGCCCAAATCGTGATTATTTGTAATTGATGCTATTTGAAAATGTTTCCATTCTATCATTTTACTGAACACGGGTTTAGAAAACCACAACAATTTAGTAAGATGGTGTGATTAGCAAACCCCTGAGTTTGGTTGCTATGTATCCTTTCAGTGATTTCGCTTTCTGATGCACAATTAAAAAAAAAAAAAAAAGAGGATTATTAGCAAAACCCCCTAGGA